GGATTATATAATATATACTTAGGAAATTTGTAGAAATTTAATACTGTTGTTACCTTTGTTTGTTTGGACTTATTTAAGGTTCTGACGACAAGATCGGTCCAATGTTTGTCCCATCACAAAAGAATATCTCTTATATGGACATTATCACTAATATTAAAACTTGTGCCTTACAACTTGAACAACAAAATAAACAAACACAAGTAGAGATTCTTCGACAAAACTATTCAAAAATCCTAAATTTTTTTTTAAATTTAAAATTAAAAGATAATTTAACAAAACAGCAACGCTTTTCTTAACAAAACTTAAAAAAGCATTCACATCTAAAGATATATCCATTTCAAAAATGAGCAGGTTTTGCTTTATTATACGAAAATGAAGCTAAAAATAAATTTGAAGAACAAATAAAAAATAGTAAAGTTATTGGTTAAGACCCAAAACCCACATTCACTTCTAAATTTCAAAAACTGTTATTTAAATTAAGAAAACAGGGTAAGTTAGACAACGCCACTTACTTTATAATGTAACCATCAGATTGCGTCCCACCTAGAATCTACGGAATAGTTAAAGCTAACAAACCAGAAAAAAACTACCCAATGCGTCCTGTTGTTTCCACTATTAACACACCACCTTATGGAACATCAGATTATTTTATTAAAATAATTTAGCCAACATTAAATAAAAATACAACTTGACTAATTAATTTAAGTAGATTTGTCAATGATGCTAAAGAATGTTAGATAAGCCCTAATGAAATTCAAGTTTCATTTGATGTAGTAATTTTATATCCATCTGTACTGATCGATGAAACAATACCGATTATTGTTAACATATTGAACGATGATTTGGAGGATTTAAAAACTAGGACTAAATTAACTCTTTTAGATATACACCAGTTATTTGAACTTTCATTGAGCAAAATGTTATTTTTTATACTAAGATAAAGTCTGAATTTTACCTAATTCAGGTCCAACTGGTTTATCGTTGATGGTAGTCATAGCTGAAGCATTTTTGAAAAATATGAAAAAAAGAGTCCTTAATGTTTAATTAATTTGTCAGTTTCGCTTACGACTTTGTTAAATCATTCCAACCAATAACTTACAAAAGATATGTAGACGATACCCATCCTCGCTTCAATTCGAAAGAAAAACAAAAACTATTTTAAATCGAGCGGATTTTAAATCTTTAAATCAATAAAACCCCTCCATAAAATAAAGTGTTGAACTTAAAAAAGAAAAAGAACGAAACTTTTTAGATATTTCTAATTACAAATACAACGAGCGGATTTTATGAATTTCAAGTACTCCGTAAGGATGCGATAACCAATGTTCAAATAAAACCAAACTCTAACATCAATCCGAGCATAATCACTGGCGTCTTTAAAGGAATTCTATGTATAGCAAAATAAATATACTCTAAAAAACATTTCTCACAAAAAATTGATTTCCTCATAGATAAGTTCTTTCAAAACGCTTATAACAAAAGTTATTTTAATAAAATAACCAAAAACTATTTAGACCGCGTTTCAAAAAATACTACATCTAAACAAATTGATTAGCAATTTGTTAAACTACCTTGAATACCTATTATTAGCCTTAAATTCCGAAGAGAATTTGCGAACAAAACATCAAAGTTATATTTACTTCAGCTCCCAATTTAAATAACATACTATGCATCAACTAAACTAAACTACCTCCGAATTCAAATCCGGGTGTTTACGAGCTTAAAAGCTCATCAAGAATGCATATTGATGAGACCAAAAAGAAAATCATTTTTAGAAGTGCGGAACACCAAATAGCCTCTAAAAATCAAAAATATTCGAGTTCTGGAGCCACAGAACATTTTAGAACACGCGGTGGTACTTTTGATTGGCTGAATCCTATAACCTTGGCAGTCATTCTCCAATACAAGATAAGAAAATTAGAAAATTCATGGGGATAAATAAAGCAAGAGTTTAAATAAAATAAAAAGTTTAAAAAATTTCTTTAAACTTTTTATTTTATTTTACTTTTTTAACTTTTTAGTTCACTCCTTTGCATAATATTAGAACTTGTAAACTTTTTTTTTCTCTGTTTCACAAAGGGGCTTAATAATGAGACACTTTGCCTTCTACTTGGCTCAGTCAGTTAACATTATTTGCAAGAATTTGTATATATATATTTTTTATATCCATTTTCAGAAATTATATCCATTAGAAAAATGGTTTCTTTCTGCACAATTTTTTTCTATAGATACAATTTTATTAGAGTGCTTCAGAACGCAATGATAAAAAATAAAGTTCGTAAAAAATCTTGCTCCCTGGTTTTTTCCCCATTCTTTTTAGCATTCAAATAGTATGGGAAAATGTTAGTGAATTTAAATACTGTAAACCTTGCCAAAAGTATGCCAAAATGTAACAATGTACGTTTAACACGCAATTATGGTAATTATTTAAGCTCATCCATGGTGTAATTTGATAAGGCCCTAAAGACTTCTAGGGGCACCTATATAAAAAAAAGATTGCTACTTAACTAATAGAAGAAATAAATTAGTGTTTCAACAGTGCCATGACTCTGCTAAAGGATGATGATATCTAGCTGATAAAAAAATCCCATATTGGAGTTACCAGCTTGCCAAAAAAGTAGATGTTATCCGTTTGTTCTTTTATTTAAAAGATGGGACAATGAAGCACGAGAAACAGATGTAATGGTGCTGTGGCAGAAAAAGTTGTTATAGAAATATAACGTAAAGATAAGGTAAAAGCAAAGATTCTTGATTTGTATGATAACTATAGGACACTGCAGAAGAAAGGGTGCAAATCAAACAAAGAAAAAAAAAAGATTTTTAGTTAAGAGTTAAAGCATTCTTTTTCATACCACATTAAGATGCCCAAACGAAAATAGAAACCGACAAAACCAAAAAAATGAAGGACAAAGATCTTGAATTTCTTAGCGCTCTTTAAGCTTAAAAAAAGGTGTGCCAGACAAGATCTACATGAGAGAAGTAAAGCATAAATAAAGAGAACTAAGGTCTTAATAATATAGAAAATGGATTAAAAGCAAAGCAAGCAAAATCTTTTTAAAAAAATTTGTGATTCCTCAGTTCAACAATCAAAAAATGAAAGTAATGATATCAGTTCTGTTGATTTACCAGAAGAAAAGAATTTTGAATTTCATGTAAAAGAGTAATCAAGTGAAAACATGTAGAAGAGAAAACAAGCAAAGAATTTAGACATCGTAAAACTTAAGATTTACCTACAATTGTCAATAAATTGAATTTGTCAGCTGGTTAGTGAATAGCATTGATGGCTGAAGTTATATTGAGGTCAGGGTGAGCGTGGCGCTGATTTGAAAAGTGTGACACTGTCGAAGTCAATGTTCTACTTGTTAAAAATGTTAGCACCATGTATCGGAAATACTTTGGTGTGCAATTTGGTAGAATTCATATGGTGAAATATCTAGCCAAGATACAACAGAATTTAAGGATTTTCAGCAACATTGGGGCTCACTTGCTCAGCGATCGACATAAAAAAGACATGACATTTGCAACCATAGGCTGAAATTTTAACAAGAAATAGTTGCATTTTTCATGAACTGTTGTCTGTGCCTGAATCTGATGATACATCAAATAATGCAATGTCTCGTAACAACTATCGGGAAAGTGCCGAATCGATACTGATACTTTTGAGAGAATAACCATCTTATGGTAAACTGGTTACAGCCTGTACCATGTACACTGGTTACAGCGTCAAGCATTTATTCACGTCCAATGGATAGAAACCCCCTTATACAGTGCAAAAATGTATGCGTTTGGTGAGCAGCTGAGTTGCAACCACGATAAAATGGACAAGTTGCGTCGCATTTGCTTGTTCAATGCCATTTTCTACATAAAGATATGGCTTTCAGCACTTTCGGCTGCATATACATCAGTGAATAATCTGCAGTCAAGGAATGATCTTATTTTGTATAAATATATTGATCCAGTCGTGGCACAAGCGGCTATGACAGCATATAACAGTCATCTGTGATATCTCACTGAACAGATAGCACCGATTGCGCTTTTCTCCACACTTTTGTCAGACTCTAAAAAGAGGCAAGTCATTAGGTAACCTCTGAAGCATGAAGACAATGCTACTTGCTGTCTTCAAATAGAAGTGCCAATATTTTTACAGCTATCGACTTCTTTATTAACATAGCTCTCATATTTGATTGTTGCAAAATCTTGGAAGCTGTCCAGGCTCTTGTATATTAACAACCGTTAGATGAATTTGCCTTGATTAAAAATAGTTAGCAAAATACATTGGTCCAACGTATATAAAATCATCGCAAAAATTGAATGCATAGGGATCAACGTTGATCCAATCTATATGGATCAACATTGACCAAATGTGTATAATCCCAAATTTATCCAATGCATATGGATTAATGTAGATCTAATGTTTTAACCCAACGTTAGTCAAATGTGTATGAATTAACGTTGGATTATATACATTAGATCAACACTGATCCATATACATTGGAATACCGTTAGATTATATACAGTGGATCTGCTTTAAAATTGCATTGGGAAAAGACAGATATACAAATACATATTTGTATAATTTATATGAACTATTTTTCATTCAAATATGTCAGTTGATTATATTGCGATGTTGGGCCAACACAGCGTGCAACATTTTTTTTTTTTAGTTTACAATTATTTATTGTTATATAACAATATAAAAATATATAAGCTTGGTATCTGAAAGAAGATCCAAAAGATCTTATACATTGTTCAAACGTTTTATCAACGTATGTGTGCCTCGTTTGAGAATTTTTAGTATAAATAGATATCTTTGAATAACTTTACTTGAATGAAAGTATGAGTTACATTTAACAAAATTTCTTAGTTTAATTGAAACATATGTCATATATACTTTATGTTAATTTAATTATTAATACAAGCCAAAAAATTTATAAATTAAAACAGTTAATAAAATTAAAATTTTTTTTAAAAGATTTTTAATGTAAAAGTTTAGAAACAACTAAATTTTGATTGATATTTATTTAAAAAATCAATAACTTATCAATTTTAAAAGATATTTCGATACGAAAGTTAGTGTTTAGATTTATATCTATTTGTTTTTGAAAAACAGCCTAACAACAACAAGACATCAAACCAAATTCAAATAAATTAGCAAGAATATTCTGAGGAATGTTATGTTACCATCAATCTTCAATCAAAGCAAGTAGACTTGTCTTGATTGGTTGGTTTTTAAGC